AATATGTTATAATAATAATAAGTTGTTATTGTATTACAGACAGGTTTTAATGGTAATTTAATAAAATGGTGGTATAACTGACAACCAATAGTCTGCAACTAAATATATATCATTACATTTATAAAAATAATTCTGAACACTGGTTTGTTCTACTGAACCCCAGTGATAGAAAACAGCTATTTTACAAGTGCACAAACTTCAGCAGAGTAGGTTGCATGTCTGTAATTATATAGGTGTTAGCACACAGCAAGAAAAATGTGTGGACTTATGCTTCCCAAACTGCACTGACATGACCAGATGGACAAAAATGCCCATGTGTATGATATTTAGAAACTTTGTCAATTGCCCAAGAAGAGTGTGACAGGTCACTCATTAATCATTACTCCATTTCCAGGAAGAGCAATTTATCCCAAATTTTCAGCCTTCATTCCAATTACCAGCAGATATAAGTGACTGAATAGTTCACCTGTGATTCCAAGGAAGGTGCAGGTGTTTTGAAAAACACAGCACATATGAAGTAGTTTTATATTCTCCTTTAAAAAGCTGAGTGTATGCAGATTGGAAAAACAGTATATATTCCTCAAAATCCTATTGAAATTTTGAAAAATTATGAAAGAAAACAAGATATGACAGTTTCAAATATTTTTAACTGACAATACCAATACTGGCTTATCATTTTATATATAGGATTGTGGAAGAGACAATTTAATATTAATTTTTATTTAAAGACTATGTTGTAATTATTGATTAGTCTCAGTTTAAAATGGCTTATTTTAGATGAACAAAAAGTTTTTATATAAATGTTCATTGAAAAATACATACTAGGAATTTTTTTTTCCACATAAATTCTTGAGTGCAGATACTACTGAATGCCATTAGAATGAGAAGAAAACCCTTTTATCAGGCATTTTATAAAATGCTTCTATATTTCTTGTTTATCACTATTCTAATAATCCTAATGAGTGATTTTATGAATAGCTTAGAATTAATTATTGAAAATCATATTATTTAGAAGAACTGCAAGAGAATCCTCTCAGTTGTTGTAAGTGTTGTTATAAACATTTAAAGCAGCAAAAAAAAATATCCTGTTGGTAAAGCGAACAAAGATCCAATTCAGTTTAACAAGGATTTACTCAACAATGCCTATGCTAGAAAAACACCCAAGTTTGTAAAAGATGGCCCCTAACCACAGTATCAATGCATCAGCACTGAGGGAAAGCAGCATCCTTCAAGTTCTACACCTGAAGCCCGCGAGTGGCTCAAGGAGGAAGACAGTCCCCATGTGTCCCTGAAGGATGTGGCAGCAAATGGAGGAGATGAGATTTACTCCAAGCAAAAGCACAGAGGTGAAAAAGCAGACCACAACTGAGAGCGAGAAAATACGGGAGGGCACTGGGCATGGGCAGGGAAGCAGGAATTAAGACTAGGACAGTAGCCCATGAAGGGCATGGCATGTGGATGTCATTACAAAAAAAAA